AAACTGAGGAATGGCAAACCGGGCTCTTTCGAAGTGACCCCCCTTGAGCGTGGCAAGATTGTCGCATCGTTCATTGAGCCCCTGCTTCGGCTGACCTCGCAGTCCACGCCGCCGAGATGTCGGACGGTGGGACACGGGCACACGCATCAGGAGATCAGGTGCCAGACCTGCACAACACCCGCTATTCCTCGGCTCGCTTTGTGGCAAGCGGATACAGGACGACGTGGTTCTAGTCAGGGCTTAGGGGACCCCTAGGCTTAAAAGGGTGGGCCCTGGGGCGCCTGCGGCTTAAACGGCTTAAAGCGTTGGGTGCCCGAACCCTCGAACTAGTTCGTGAACTCGAGCCTTTTCTTTTCTCCTCCCCCCCCCGACCCGCTTCATTCACACCCGCAGGCCGAGGAATACCAGGGAAGTTTGTCTGAACTGCGAACGAACCGCGAACGAACCGCAATATTTATTTTTGGCTCTGCAGGCCTGTATAGTCCCTTGGTTGCCTACTAGAGGCCTAGAGTACGCCGGACGCCTCGGCCGGCTCGGGGAGCCCCCGTCTCCCCCATTCTACTCGCCAGTCAGCACGCACGGCGCCCAGGCACCACAGGGCAGCCCTGCTCACAGCGCCTTCATGGAGTACATGCGCAAAAACCACGCCAAGTACGCGAAGGCGTGAGCAAGGAGGCGTCGAGGCTGAGCGCCCCCCCCCCCCCCCTTTTCAATGGTCCGCGGCGGGCGGCGGCGCACCGGGGTAGTCGCGCCCGCAGTCCGCTAGATTGCAGACTGTCGCGGACCGTCAGAATTGTGCTAGTGCCGCCTGTGTATATGGGCACCTCTCCTGAGATTGAGGGCCAGACCGCGTCCGCACGCGCGCACGTGGCGCAGTTGCGCGAGTTCGTTCGTTCAGCGCGGCTCGTGGCTGAACTGCACGCCGAACGAACGAACTTTTCGCGATGATTTTCTTTTTTCCTAACTTCGAACGGAGTTCACGAACGTTCGTCCGTTTTCGCAGTTCGCGCCTTCCACAGCCGTGGCGGTCCGTTCAGTTTCGAGGTTCGGGCTGGGCCCCGCCGGCTGCGTTCGTTCGAGTTCGGAGTTCACGAAATCCGCGCGAACTCGAAAGGCTGGTCTTAAAGGCTGCCAGTGCACCAGACTTACAGATGTGTCTTCAGAGGCGGGTTTGTGCCTAATAACGGCAGTATTGGAGAAAACGGCAGTCCCCAGCGACGCATGCCGGTGAGGCCGATTTTCTTCAACGGTCTTAAAAGAGGGACCCCCCGTGCCTGCAATCTCTTAAATGGCAATTTAAACCCCCAAACCTCCTCATTTCTTAAAAGCTCTTAAAAAAATCCAAGAGAGGAGTGGGAGGGCGGGAGAATCCAAAAAAGCCGTCCAAAAAGCCACAAAAAGCCAGCGAGCCTCCCGTTACGCGATTGCTAATCGATGCGCAGCATGATGCGTGGCCAGCGCGGGAGCAGGCCGGCGCCGACGCTGCCAGAACAAATACGAGACCTCGACCGACGGACGGCGGCCCTGCGGGCGAGCATCCGCGCTGCTGACGACGTGCTCGAGACTGACCTTGAGCGACGAGATTCTCGCATGCTTTGAGGAGGCGCTCGGCGAACGGCAGCCAGAGATGGGAACGGATGCTGCAGCAGGGCGAGAGGCGAACGCCGAGAGTGCGGAGGCTGCACCGCGACTCGAGGCTGCAGCAGAGCAGCAGCGGGAACATTCCCTGCTTGCACCGACCGCGGGGCGCGGCGTTGAGCCGGTGCTGCCAGACCCGGTGCCTATGCTGCATACGAATTCCGGTGGAGGGCGCAGATCGTGCGAGCCAGATGCCGGCGCCGGTCAGCAGATCGGGTCGGCAGCTGCGAGCATTCTCGAGCGGCGCGGCGAGGCGGCGCGAGCGAAGGTGCTAGATAAGGTGCGTGATGCGGGGCGAGCAGATGGGGACCCGGCCGCCCCAGAGGAGGAGGATGACGAGTACGACCCCGAGGAACGCTTGCCTGATTCGGATGAGGAGGCAGAGGAGTACAGGGTGCAGCGGGTGGTGCGCGGCCGCGTGCGGCTTCATGGCAAACAGCCTGCGGGGGGGAAATCCGGTGTGGATGGCGCGCAAATCTGAGTTTTATTCCGCGGTGTACACTGAAAGCAGCCACAATGGCTGGCAAATCCACAAATCCGGCCCTCAGAACCCTATAGGGATCCCCTAAGAGCAGGGGCAGCGGCCACGCAAAGTAGTTTGCGTTCGCAAGCCGCGGCACGTTTGGTGACCTACTTGACCGACTGGGACTGTCCCGGCAAGCAGGGAGCAGCCAAGACGAAGGCCTTCCGCCTTTGTCTCTCCACCGCCCTGTATGGAAGGTTGGAAGCGCCACGCGTGACCCGCGCCCGCCGCGACAGCGCGCCCCCTGATTCGATTTGAAATGTACCAGTCGTGGCTGCGTCACTACTCATAGACCGCAGCCGCATCTACCTGCTCGATTTCTGCGACGTGTACTTTCAGGCGGGACATACGCACCGCCTCCCTGGGCGAGTGATTGCGCATCGACTCGTGAGCAAGATCATTGTACCGGTCGGCGGAGCATTCCGCGTGCTCACAGCGATGGATCAGCCGCGGCTGTGGTGCCAGCCGCGGCTGTGGTGCACCAGTTTGATCGGTTTCCTAGTAAAAGGCGAAAGGGCTCTTACGAATATGCACTCATATGCACTGTTACACCGTCCTCTGCGCACGCACGACTCCGCAGGAGAAACCCCTCCCCAGGCAAAACACAAGGGAGAGGTGGGTGTGGGTCACAGAAAGACTGCGGCCGCCAGCAACTGAGCGTCTCGCTGGCGGACGGGGAGAACACAACGAAGGGACGTCCGAAAAACGCAACACAAGAAGGGATGCACGGACATCCATCACTGGGATGAGATCGGGAGATACACATATCTGCCAATACCTAGAAGATGTAGGATTGCGAGCGTAAGTGCTCACAATCGCACAGAGATGCTACGAATGCGAGGAGTGCTGCTCACAATCCTTCGACTTCTATTGGGAGCGAGGCTGCTCTCAATCCTAGCCTTCTACAAAAGAAAGGTTCACCCCCAATGGGTCCCTCGAGATCGGTACCCTGGGTGGGCGGGCCTCTACTCGCCAGGCCCAGGGACCGCGCGGCAAGTGTCGGAAAACCGCAAAAGAGAAGATACGACAATGTACGTGACGGGTGGTGTCGTAGTGTCCGTGTCCACTAGCTCCGAGTAGAGGGGGCGTTCTGCAGTTAAGGGGAAACCCGGTACACGGAGCCCTCTCGGAGACCCGTGTTTACTTTACAGCCCTTGCCCTGCGAATGCGCACCCCCCCTAGCTAGGGGTCAGGGCTCTCTAGCCCGTAGCCCGATGCCGATCATCCGGCTCGCTGGGTGCGCTTCTCAGCTCCCCGGCCCTGGATGTGAGGTTAATGACTGCACTCCAAGTGCTCCAAGACGCTCGAGCCACCGCCACCACCACCCACACACGACACACCACAAGAAGGAAGAGTACAGCGATCGCCATCTCGCTGGCCTCTCCGCAAGAGGCCTCCCGACCGCGTCGAACTCACGGCGCGGGCTCTCTCGGCTACGGGACCGGCCCCAGCTTCGGCTGAGGGCTAGAACAGCTCTCTCGCTCCGACCGAGGAGGATGGAGGCGCCCCTCGAAGAGACATGCGTCCGAGCGGAGCCCGGATGCGCCATTTGCGTTCAAAGGTTCGATGATTCACTGAATTCTGCAATTCGCACTACGTATCGCATTTCGCTGCGTTCTTCATCGTTGCGAGAGCCAAGATATCCATCGGCAGGAGTTGTGGGGTTTCATAAGTTGAGGCAGCGCCGGCAGAGAGCCCGCGCTGCGCAAGAGAGGGGGCCGTGGGGAGGGGAGAGCCACTCCACACTCACCCAGGCGCGAGACAAGAGGGGTGCGGGCCCGGGTCGGCTCAGGAGAGCCCCCCGGACAGCCGCGCGCTCCGCGCGAACGCGGAGCCCGCGACGGGGTTAGACGGGGTACGGTGCAACATCGGTGTGGGTTGGAAAGACCGGTAATGATCCTTCCGCAGGTTCACCTACGGAAACCTTGTCACGACTTCTCCTTCCTCTAAATGATAAGGTTCGGACAGCTTCCCGCGGCGTCGCGGCTGGAGAACCAGCTGCGGCGCCGCAGTCCGGGGGCCTCACCGGATCATTCAATCGGTAGGAGCGACGGGCGGTGTGTACAAAGGGCAGGGACGTAATCAACGTGCGCTGATGACACACGCTTACTAGGAATTCCTCGTTGAAGATTAATAGTTGCAATAATCTATCCCCATCACGATGCAATTTCAAAAGATTACCCGGACCTCTCGGAAGCTGCCGAGCCCAAATCACTGTGAGAGTCGTGATTTCTTCTTGGTTTTCAAAAATCTCTCACACCACCCTCCCAGCTCTGGAATTCTGGACAGGGTGGCCAACAACCACCCCTGGAATTGCGACTCGCCACTTTCCTCCCCCTGTGAATTTGTGTGAGCTGTGTGTCCTGAGATTTGCCGTTCCTTCTCGAAACACAGAAAAAAAAATTGGCCACCGCGTCTCCGCACCGTCCTCCCGTCGTGCCTCCCGCCTCCGTGTACGTCACATCGGTCTTGATAACAAGCACGGTCGATCCGTTGAAGCGATACACTCGTTCCTATCTCGCTGGAGGGCTGGCACGGAGCTCTGTGCCGGCACACAGAAGAGCCGTGCGGCAAGAAGAGCTCGATGGGGAGTGAGAACCGTCAAAGGTGCTCACGCAGGTTCCATGGGGCGTGGGGGCTCCATGGGCTCCGAGGAAGCCATCACGCCCGGGTAAGCCATTGGCATGGGCTGGTGAGCCATGTAGCGTGGGGGGGAGATATGGGGAGATATGGGCCGGGCGGCGTCCTCGGTGCGAGATCTGGGGAGGTACGGGGGGAGGTACGGGGGGAGATATGGGGAGATATGGGGAGATATGGGGAGATGGGGAGATCGGAGCACATGCTGCCCGCTTCGACAGCGCACGCCTCAGCGACGGCCACCCTCGGCCCAGGTGCATCCGCGCGCGGGCTGGTCGGCTACTCGAGTACGCCGAGACACCCTTCCGAGAGAGAGAGGCACTTCCGAGCGAGACGTCCGTTCTACTTGCGAGAGCCGCCCCGCCCCTGCTCGCCCGCTGCAGGTCTTTGGCGTGCTCGTCGCGCCGCAGCTCAAGGCGCTGGCGGGCTGGCCGGGCCTCTTCGGCGCACTCGGCGCGGCGATGCTCGCGGCACCGGCGGTGCTGCGGCCCGCAGTGGCTATAGAGGGGGCGTCTCTCGCCAAGCTCAAGCGGGCCTGAGCAGGGCCATGTTTGTGCGCGCTCGCTGTCCCGCGGCGTTTTCTCCGTTGGCATGCGCTTCGATGGATGCCGCGCCTGAGGCGCACAGCCATACCAACACGCGGTCGACCGAAGGCACCAGCGACACCACGACGCTGGATACCCGGTCTCAAATTCGAATTGGCGGAGCGCGGCCGGTGCGTCAAACACTCACACTCACTAGGGGGTATAGTCTGTATCTGAGAGCCGTACGGTAATAATGATTCTTTCGGGGTCTCTCACAAGCTGCGCGAGAGAACACATCGAGCGTGTGTACGTGATGGCCGGGCTGCCAACAAGGCCCTATGCTACCTGCCTACCTCACGCGCGGATCGTTCAAAGAGGACCAGCGCATGCACAGGCTTCTCTGACACATGCGTCCTTTGTTTGAGCTTGAGGCTAATTGTGAGACACGCCCGACCGCGTGACGGAGAGCGAACCGACGCTGGCGCGGGTCAAGCAGCGTCGGTTCGCTATACCAGCTCCGAATGGGTACCCGCTTCCCAACAAAAACGCAGCCAAAGGAGAAAGAAACGGACATCTCAAAGAAAGAAGAAAGGGGCGCGCGCCCCACCGGATAAAGATGCAAATGAGAAAATGGCACGAAAGAATTTTACATGAAAGAAAGAAAAGGGGTCGGGGGTCAAGGAAATTGCTCTGGGGTGGCGCGGTAACTCGGCGCCGTCGAATTCTTTTCCTTTCATCGAGCCCTCCAGCCCCCCTTGGGTGCGCGCATATTGCGCCTGGCACGTGCAGGACACCGCCGGGCACATTCCCGAGTGCAGCGCCGAGCACGCGGAGCAGGGCTCTTAGTCCTCGATCAAAATGCTCGTGAGATCGCGCGATTTGTTGTGTGGATGGTGTTTGAGCTAAGAATCGTCAAAACTCTCTCCCCCTAGTCAACACATTTTCCGAATTCTTTTTCCTTCGCGGCAACGCGATGGCGGCAAGGCCTTTTGCGCGCCCGCCCTCGTCACGCCGAAGACCAACCGACGTCGGACCGCGGTGAGACCAGGGGTCTACTCAAGTGCCTGCGCGAGTGAGTGTGTAGTGGGGGTGTGACGTGTGAGGCGTGCAGTGTGGTGTTCATTAGCTCCGAGTAGAGGGGGCGTCCTGCAGTTAAGGGGAAACCCGGTACGCGGGGCCAACCCTCGGAGACCCGTGTTTACTTTAAGGCCCTTGCCCTGCGAACGCGCACCCCCGGGGCTAGGGCTCTCTAGCCCGTAGCCCGATCCCGATCATCCGGCTCGCTGGGTGCGCTTCTGAGCTCCCCGGCCCTGGATGTGCGGTTAATGACTGCACTCCAAGTGCTCCAAGATAGATACAGTGGGTCCCACTGTAGGAAGGCCATGAAGCCTACCCGGTGGCAGCAAGAAGAAGAATTCTAACAATACACGCTGCGTCCTGTATTTACCGAACTGCTCTCTCTCACACACACAAACAATAACCTATCTACGCGGGGTACTTTGAGCACTTGAGCACTGGATAGGGTCGATTCCGCATGGTACGGGACCCCTCGATCGTCTCGCCCTCCCTCGCTGGTGTGTTCATTGCACATTGGGGGGTCATACAAACTCCGGCCAAATCTACGCCGGACCGGCACCGGGCGGGCCAACCCCCTTGGGCTTGGAATCGAGCGCTGGTCTAGTAGGCTCCGCGAGCCGAAGAAATCGAACATGGTGAACGGGACGGAAGAAATTTGGTTGGCTTTTCATCACAATCAAAGGACAGGCAAAACACGGGAGAAGGCAGTGCGATACGCTAGGATCATACGTCAATGGACTGCTCTTCTGTAGGTGGAGCCGACAAACGCCGGTCGGGTCGGCCCCGCCGCCCCCATCGCCGCCGCCGGGGCGGCGGCGGCCTCGGCGGACCATCCGGCGCGCCGCGCGCCCGACGGGGAGGTGTTCACCACCCCTGGCTCCTCACCCCGCCACGCCTTCGTGCGGACGCCGTGGCACCCACCTCAGGCGTCTCTCGGACTCGGTCGACGGCCGCCCAGCTGCCTGGCTCGTGCCAAGCCGACCGGCAGGCGATTCCCACTCACTGCTAGGCTAATCTCGGGCTGTCCTGCGGCGGAGTGGTGCCGTGAGGGGCGCCGCCCCCAAAACTACGATCGTTAGTACCGCGCGGGGGCAGTGCATTAATTCTGTCAAAAATCCAAATCTGCTCCGTGGAACTTATTGGGCTAGGATCATACGTCTGGGAGCCCCCCCATGCATGCCGTAACGATCGACAGCGATCTGGCTACTCTGTTCACGTTCACACCTCGTAAACCCCCCATACCCCGATACAGGAAGTAGCAAGACGTGCATGCACATATGTCGTGTCATGTCGGCGCCGCCACTCCAACGTGCGACGAAATCACTCCGGACCTCTGCGAGCTGCGGCAGACGAACGACTCCCTGGTCGTCAAAGGGCTTCGGCTGAACTACTGGAGGTTTGAGGCCTCGCCGCCGTCTGGCCTGGCAAACGAAAGGCTTCCTATCGTGATGGTGCATGGCGGGCCGGGCTGGTCGCACGACTACCTTTTGCCGCTCAAGCAGCAAGCCTGCCGCGGCAGGACAGTCTATTTCTACGACCAGGTCGGCGCGGGCGTGAGCGAGCGGCCGGTGTCTGCAAAGGCGAGCGCGCCGCACCTCTTTGACATCGACTACTATCCGGAGGAGCTTGCGGCACTGATCCGCCACCTCGGCCTGCGCCGCTTCCACGTGCTCGGCTCCTCGTGGGGCACCATCGTGGCGCAGCTCTTCGCTCTAGGACCGAACAGCGGCGGGCTCGCCGGCCTCGTCCTCTCGGGTCACTCTCACACTGCTCTCACGGAAGGGCTACAACACGCCTCCCATTCCCTGAGCCTTGAGCTTGTCCGGCTGTAGGTCCGCTCAGCGACGCGACGCTGTACATCCGGAGTCAGTGGGACCCGACGGAGGGCAATCTCGGCGCCATGCTGCCGCCTTTCGTCCAGCGGAGGCTGCGCGCCCTCGACGCGGCTCGCGACTTCGGCTCGGCCGAGTACCGCGCGCTCGCCAAGGCTATGGAGGCGCGCTTCACCGTGCGCACCTACCCTCCGCCGGACTGCTACACGAGGGCGTCGGGCCTGATGAACGACGAGATCTACGTCGGCATCCAGGGCGCGTCCGAGTTCACCATCGGCGGCGTGCTCGCGGGGTGGAACATCACGGCGCGGCTGCCGGCCCTTGGCGCGCTGCCAACGCTGCTCACTGCGGGCAGGTTCGACACGATGCGGCCGCCGCTGCTGCGCGCGATGGCGGCGGCGATCCCAAACAGCCGCACTCTCGTGCTGCCGCACTCGGGGCACTGCTCGATGATCGACGACCCAAAGCTGATGAACGACGGGGTGGCCGATTTTCTTGGCTGCGTCGAGAGCGGCGCGTGCGCGGCCGCCGCGACGCCGGTGCCGCGGCAGAGGGGCGAGGAGGCGCGGACGGCGGAAGGCATCGACGCGCCGTCGGACGGCGGCGGCGGAGTCTACCACAGGCTGGTGAGGGTCGGCGGCGTCGACGGCTGCGTCGAGGCAAGCGTGAGCGCCACCACCGCAAGCGCCTTTGGCGGGACCGAGGGCCGCTGCAAGGGCGTGGGCTACACGGTGCCCACGGGCTCGCAGGCGATCCCCTTTTGCTGCACCGTCCAAGGGTTCAAAAGGCCGCCCCTCTCGTCGGGCGCGAGCGTGCTGCAGTCAGCCGTGGCTGGGGGGCGGAGGGAGCCGCTCGCTCTGCCGCCGCTGCTCGCGTGGGGAGGCCTCCTGCTCTGGGTCGGCGTTTGGCTGGGCCGGCGGTACGAGCGGAGGCGCTCTGGCCGGGCGGCGAGGGACATTCTGTAGGACTGTGTAGCACAGTGAAAAAAGGAGATCTACCTTGTCTTGTCACTCATTGAAGTTCCCTCACCGCACAAGAAGTTGCCACAGGATCGTGCAGGGCGGGGACACATGCCTACATCCCATCTCGTGTTCCCCGAATTCGCTGGAATTTCTTTTCTCTCCGCCAGGGTTCGGACTTTTTGGTATGGTATGGTAGATCGCGCAACCCACCTCGAGACCATACCCCCCCGCCTGCTGACAGACCCAGCCTCCCGGCTGCCGGCCTCGGGCGGTCAGGACCATACCCCCCCACCCTTTGGGCCGCGGGTACCATACCACACCCCGGAAAAAGTTGGAACCCAGTTTCGAAAGGAGGAATGGGTGGTTGCGACCATGACAAAGCGCTTTAGCATCTTCGACCCAAGCCGCGTAAGCCTCGTCGACCCAGGCCGCGTAAGCGGCCTCGGCCTGGACCGCGCCAGCGGCGCCAGCGATGAAGAAATAAACGCGGTCGTGCTGGAGCCGAGCTTGTCCCAGGAGAGGAAGAGCGAGCCGGAGAGCAGCGCCAGCGACATGGCCATAGACACAACTCAGAGTAACCGAGGCGCCAGCAGCTTTGTGCGGCCGAGCCAGGCCGGTAGCACGCGGGCGGACGCTTCTGCCTCTGCTGGGACCCGCCCAGAGAGCGTCGAAGCAATGTTTCAGCGGCAGCTGGACGAGACCTTCTTCGTCGCCGGCATCGTCATCTTCACAGGCCTTTGCCACCTGAACCCCTTCTCCATCCTGCTCGCGCTGCAGCGCCATCTCCTCGAGGCCGAGATGCACTCGTCGTTCCTGCGTAACCTCCACCGTGGCCTGCACGACAGGCTCGTGCGCCGCAGGGAGCACTGCCGCTCGCGCAGCTGCAGTGCGATTTCGAGCTGGTGCGGCAGCACCAGAATCGGCGGCCAGCGGGTGCCGTGGGTGCTCTGGAACTCGACGCTCGCGCTCTTCTCGCTGGTGCTCGTCTACGACACAATCTTCATGGGGCTCTGCCTCGCGGCGACGGTGATGCTCTTCGTGCAGAACAAGGAGTCGATGGACAATGGCGGCCTCTGCCAGACCAACTCCACCTTCGACTTTTGGCTCAACAGCAACCTGCAGAAGGCGGAGGTGGACGAGGAGCGGCTCTACGATGCGCTGGGCGCGGCGGCGGAAGGAAGCTCCGAGCTGGGCGCCCTCACGGCGCAAGTCAACGGCGAGCTCGAGATGCGAGCGGTCACTGTGGAGGTTGTGCAGGGCACGCTGCTCCAGGCGATCAAGGGCGACGAAGACTCGCTCGGGATCTGCAAATCGCTGCTGCTCTCCAACCTGCTCATCGTCGCCTTTGCCAGCTGGTTCTGCGTCGTGCTCGCGCTCGGATGGGGCTCCACCATCAAAGCGATCTGGCGCATCCGTCGCGCGCGGCGCACCGCCCCGCTCGTGCTGCAGCTGCACGTCGAGGTGGAGAACCGGCGGGTGCCCGTGTCGCTCGAGCTCACACGGCTGGCGAGGCATGTCGGGGCGTCACCCCACGTCAGCCCCGGCACATCCTCCAACGCGGACCGCTTCCTCGTCGGCCAGCTCGTCACGGGCCGTCCCATCGATGCGGCGCTGGGGGTCCTCGGTTACATGGGTGTGCCTGAGGAGACCGTGTACGGTGGCCTCGCCGATGGCTTCGCCTCGATGGTGCGTGAGGTGGAGGCGCACGGCACAGAGGAGGACCGGTACTGCCTCAAGTACGTGCTGCACGCGGCGACCGGCTCGTGCGAGCGGCAGTGGCCCAACGGCGTCCTCGACGGCGGCCGTGAGTCTGGCCTCCGCCTCGCCGACTTTGCTTCGCACGCAAGCGCACGGCTCGCGGGCCTCACCGCGGCGCAGGTGGCGGCGCTCCGCTTCTATACGACAGCGGGTTACCGATCACTCAACCTGCCGCTGCGGAGCCCAAACGGTATCTGCCACCAAGGCTACCCCTTCCCCGTCACGATGACGCTGATCGCTGAGGCGCTCAAGAGGCTGCGAGCCGTCGACGCGGGCACGCGAGCGCAGGTCGACTTGTGGCGCGGGATGCGCAATGTCGTTGCGAGCGAGGCCTTCCTCGCCTGCGGCGGGACCGAGGTGGCGCCCATGTCGACCACCACCGACTTGGCAGTGGCGATGCGCTACTCGTGCGGGCACGGCGCCGCCACCACCTCGGCGCTACTCCTCAAGATTGCCACGAGCAGCTTCATGGACAGGGGCGCCGACCTGGCCTTCCTCTCGTGCTTCCCGAACGAGAGCGAGGTGTGCTACCCGCCGCTCACGTTCCTCCTGCCGACCGGCCGGAGCGAACAGTTGCAGGCCAGCGGGGTGCGCTTTACAGTGATTGAGGTGACGCCTCGGCTGAGCTGAGTTGTGAGATGTGAGTACATATGGCTGAGTACCGTGTCGCGCTATGTCATGTTTATCTCTTGTTATTGTCGCCAGCCTGTGCATTTCCGTGTTCATACGAATGCATACCTAGCGAACGGGGTTGCCAGAACGTTAAGAAATCGACATTTCGCCCCGTGACTTTTCTCTGAAGCAGGACTTAGGACTTTGCGGAGATCAGCAGGAGGATGTACACGAAGAGGTTAGGAGCAGCAGGGACCCGAGGGACCATGTGGAAGACGGCTAGTGCTAGTCCCCCACCGGGAGAGGACGACCCCCGGGCTAGTCGCCGACCACACCCACATAAGAACCCTGCACAAAGATCGCACAGGCGGGGCGGGGACCTGTTCCTTTTTACCCATCTCACAGTAGAGGTGTCCGTTTTTATTTATTTATTTCTCTGAAGCAAGTCGGACAGTCAGAGAAGAAGAGAAAACATTGAGTCGCCCCCAGCGCGGTCTCGGCCCTCCCTCTTACTACTTGACCAGCTCCCTGAAGACGGCCTCCGCCTCCTCGGCCGTCGCGTACACGAGTGACTTTGGCGACGAGAACTGCCGCCACCCGTCCTCGCCGCTGTGGTAGCCGAAGCCGGAGCCCTTCTGCCCCGCCCACGGGCATTGCGCGGCGGCGTTGATCAGCGGCCAGTTGTTGATGCCGACCTCGGCCCGTCAGGGAGGGGGGAGAGTAAGAAGGAGTGGGAGGGAGGCGACAGCGACAGAGCGCGCCGGATGTGGCACCTGGCCCGTCTTGATGCGCGCGGCGACGCGAGCGCCCTTTGCCGCCGAGCCCGTGTAGACGCACGCGGAGAGGCCGTACTCGGAGTCGTTTGCGAGGGCGACGGCGGTCGCCTCCTCGCCGTCGAACGGCGTGATCGCGACCACCTGCCGCGAAATGCACGAGGCTCGGAGAAGGCTTCTCCTTGCCGCCGTCCAATCGGCGCGGACGCCGCACCGGCCCGAACGTCTCCTCCGCCGTGATTCGCGCGCCCTACGGGGAGCGCGGCATGCGGACGAGTCGGTGGGCGCGGCTCGGAGACGTCTCCTCTGGCGGCGATGTGCCGCCGTCCTGCGGCACACCCGACAGCACCGTCGCGGGGTAGAAGTGGCCATGAGGAAGCGCCCCCGCCAGCCTCTCGGCTTCGGCGGGACCGCCGAGCAGGCAGGTGGCGCCCTCGGCGATCGCACTCTCGACGTGGCTCGACACGACTTTGCGCTGGCTCGCCGACACCATCGGCCCGATCTTTGAGCCGCTGTCGAGCCCGTTCCCCGCCACGTACCCCCTCGCCAGCGCCACCACCCTCTCCTCGAACGCCGCCTGCACCGCCTCCGCCACGTACACCCGCTCGACGGCGCAGCAGACCTGCCCGCAGTTCATCAGCGAGAAGGCGACCGCGTCCTTGGCGGCGAGGTCCAGGTCCGCGTCCTCGAAGACGATGAACGGGTCCTTCCCGCCCAACTCGAGTACGAGCCGCTTCAGCCCGCCCGCGCAGGCCGACATGATGCGCTTGCCCGTTGCGGACGAGCCCGTCATCGCAACCATGTCCACCAGCGGCGACTCGACCAGCCGCTGCCCCACAGCTCCGTCGCCCTGCACAAGCCCCACCAGCCCGGAGGGGAGGCCCGCCTGCAGCGCCTCCACGGCCGCCTGACCGACGAACCAAACCCATCAAGCGCTGCTGGGGGCAAGGCAGCCGGGTGCGTCTCCGCCGCCCGCCTGGCCCGAGAGAGGCGCCACCTCGGACGGCTTGACGACGACCGCGTTCCCGGCGGCGAGCGCTGGAATGGCCAGCAGCAGAATCTCGTCGACTGGGAAGTTCCAAGGAGCGCAGACCGCCACCACGCCTGCCGAGCGGGGCGGCGGACCGTCCTCGGGAGCGGGCAGAGAGGGCTAGAGTGCGGACAGCCGTGGCTGCCGTGTGCATCGCGGACGAGGATGGAGGATCCGCCGATCAGCTGACATTCGTTGGCGGCGCGTACGTGCCGCACAAACTCGTCCTTGTCAGCCGCGCCCTCGACCTCCTCCGTCGCCTCGGAGAGGATCTTCCCCATCTCGCGCACACACAGCTCGGCGATGGAGGCGACCTATCCTCCAGCCAACGTGTGCGTTCGCACCCGATGCCATTCGATGCGGCCTCTCACATTGCCTTGGGCGTGAGGGACTTCACGGCGGCCGCGATCCGCTCGCACCGCTCAGAGAGCGGCGTCTGCTCCCACGATGGCTGTGCCGCCTTTGCTGCCTGCAGCGCCTCGTCGACCACTGCGGGCGTGCTGATCGGCACCCGGGCAATGACGCTGCCGTCTGCTGGGTTGGTGTCCACGATGTGGTCCGCTTCGATGATCACGCCTTGCACCATTCGGGTTTCCTCGCCGGCCGCGCAGAGGGCGGGCGGGGCTCTAGTCGCCCAGGGGGACGGGTCGTTGCGAGGAAGAAAAGAATTTTGAGGTGCCCGAGGCCGCGCGCAGCCTACCAGGGTGTGCTCTAGGGCATCGGGCCCCTGCAGCCGGCGAGATGCCTCCCAATGGCGGGCTGACCGCGGCGGCCCTCGCCGCGGCGCAAGCCGAGAGTGACTCGGAGATGTCCACCATCGGCGGCGCCTCCGGCACCGACACCGAGACCGAGTCGATTGCGTCGAGCCGCAACTCGGAACGGAACCGGAAGAAGAAGGACCGGAAGAAGGCCAACAGGAAGGCGCTGCAGGCTCAGCGGATCGCGATGATGGCGGGGGGCGCCTCCTCCGACGCCGCCGCCGGGAGCGGCGACGCCGCCGCTGAGGGGGGCGCGGGCAGCGCTGCGAGCGAGCTGCTCGCGGGGATGCAGGTGGAGTACGTGCCGCAGGCGCCCGAGGCGGAGCTCTTCGGGACGGAGGAGCTGAGCGAGATGGCGGAGGCGCGCCCGCCGCTCTCCCCTGCCGCGCGCTCTCCTCCTCCCTGGCCGCCGCGGCGCCGCCGCCGAAGCGCCGGAGCGCCGCCCCGAGCGAGAGGGTGCGCCTGGCAGGGTGTTGTGTCTTCAGCGGGTCGCTTCGCCACGCCCGCGCGGCCTCGCCCCCGCGCCAGACTGCCCTTATCCCTCGCCCGCCCGCGCCGCCGACCGGCCACCGCGTGTCGACGCGCCGTGTTGCAGGTGTTTGCGCGGTTCCGGCCGCAGGCGGAGGCGGAGAAGGAGGAGAGCGAGGAGGAGAGGGCGAAGAGAGAGGCGAAGGAGAAGGAGGAGGCGGCGGCGGCGGAGGAGGAGGAGGGGGGGGGCGAGGCGGCCAACGAGATGGGAAAGAAGGCGAAGCGGCGGCTGAAGCGCCTCTCGATTGCCGAGCTCAAGCAGCTCGTGAGCAAGCCGGAGGTGCGAGACTGTGTAGCTGTGAAGAGTGCAGGAGCTGTGAAGATTAGAGAGCAGTAGCTTCAGCCGGAGGTGCGACCGACGCCCCGCCGAACACGCCTCCCCACACACCTCCCCGACCCTACCCGGCCGCTTCCCGACTCCCTCCCGACTCCTCTCCCTCTGCGCCTTCCCGACACGCCCCCGACCCCTCGCCGCCGCCGCCGCCCGGAAGGGGCAGTGGAGGGCAGCAGCGGCAGCTGTGAGCAGCGGCAGTAGTGAGCAGCTCCCCCCCCCGGCGGCAGGTGATCGAGCCGTGGGACGTCACCTCCGCCGACCCGCGCCTCCTTGTCAACCTCAAGTCACTTCGCAACACGGCGACCGCACGCCCCCTGCAGTCGCGGCCCTGCCCCCCTGGCCCCCTGCCCCCCCTGGCCCTTGCCGGCCTCTTTTGCCCGGCGGCCCTGGGCCTTGGCCCTGGCCCTGTGCCCCTCCGACCCCCTGGCCCCTCATCGCTCCGACTCTGCCCCCGGCCCGCTGCCCCCCCCCCCACCCCCACCCCCCCTCTCCCCCCCCTTGCAGGTTCCCGTGCCGCGGCACTGGTCGCAAAAGCGAAAGTTCCTGCAGGGGAAGCGCGGCGTCGAGAAGCCGCCCTTCGCGCTGCCCGAGTTCATCGCCGCCACCGGAATCGAGAAGATCCGCGCGTCGGTGATGGAGAAGGAGAACGCGAAGAAGCTCAAGGGCGAGATCTAGCCGAGATCTGGCCGAGATCTGGCCGAGATCTGGCCGAGATCTGGCCGAGCTGGGCGTCGGTGAGTGAGCTGGATGATGTGAGGGAGCTCCAGGGGGCGAGGGGGGCGACTCGGAGGCGACAGAGACCCGTCTCTCTGCCCCCCCTCCCGCAGGCAAGATGAAGGAGCGCGTGCAGCCAAAGATGGGCAAGATCGACATCGACTACCAGGCGCGACGCATGCGCCCGTGGCCCAGCCGACGCGAGACTCGCCGCTCACCGCTCTCCCCTGTGCGCGCTCTCAGGTGCTGCACGACGCCTTCTTCAAGTTCCAGAGCAAGCCGCGCCTGAGCCGGTTCGGCGACACGTACTACGAGGGCAAGGAGCACGAGGTGCAACTGCGGCAGAAGAAGCCGGGCGTCGCGTCCGACGAGCTGCAAAAGGCGCTCGGGATGGAGCTGGGAGGGCCTCCCCCGTGGCTGATCAACATGCAGCGGTACGGGCCGCCGCCGTCGTACCCGAACCTCAAGATCGCGGGCCTCAACGCGCCGATCCCCGAGGGGGCCACCTATGGCTACCACCCGGGCGGGTGGGGCAAGCCGCCCGTCGACGAGTTCGGGCGAGGACCCGCCGAGATCGGGACGAGATCGGGACGAGATCGGGACGAGATCGGGACGAGATCGGGACGAGATCGGGCCACCCGTCGACGCGCCCATGCGGCCACTGCTGCGGCGACCTCCTCGCCCCGAGGGCGGTGGGCGGCGCCTCGCCACAGCGCCTCGCCACGGCGCCTCGCCACAGCGCCTCGCCACAGCGCCTCGCCACAGCGCCTCGCCACAGCGCCTCGCCACAGCGCCTCGCCACAGCACCTCGCCACAGCGCCTCGCCACGGCGCCTCGCCACAGCGCCTGATTTGCGCGCCAGGCGGCCGCTGTACGGCGACGTGTTTGGGACGGCCGGCGCCGAGCCTGCAGAGCAGCTGGCGCCGTCGCTGTCGCGCGACAACTGGGGCGCCGTGGAGGAGGACGCCGAGGGGAGCGACGACGAGGAGGAGGAGGACGAGGAGGAGGGCGGCGGCGGCGGCGACGGCGACACCGCGTCGGAGCTCTCTGCCGACGAGGTTGCGGCGGGCATCTCGTCGGTCTCCTCCTCGTCTGCCGACGAGTGGCCCTTCCCAGCCTCCCTTCCCCCTGAGCCTTCTCGCACCCCCTCTCCCCGGCAGGTCGCCTCTAACTCGTCCCTCCCGTCCGGCCTCGCCACGCCCGACTCGCTGCACTTGCGCAAGCAGCTCGGCGCGCAGCGCGCCGGCACCGCGACGCCCTCGTCGGTGACGGACGGCGCGCAGACGCCGGAGTCGGTCTCGTCGGCGCAGCTCTACCAGGTGCCGCCGCCGCCTACCTGCCCCCCCCCCCCCT